GACGAATGAATATTAAAAATGAAGAAGAAAGGGAAAGAAAAGGTAAACAAATATTGAGGAATAACATATGTTGTAGAAACTGACGAAAAACAGAATATTTTGCAAACAAGCTCTAAATTTTTAAATTAATCCTTAATTATGATTTATGGTCATATCGTCAAATTACGTTTAAAATAGCATTTAATGTTATACTTTTGAAAGAACAATTTCTTTAGAAAATTTCTTTAATAACCGAACATAATTATGTTCTGTAATTAAATTGTTGTTCTGCTTTTGATAAAAATCTTCTCCTTAAAGAATTAACTTCACTGATATCTTTTCGAAAAAAATATTACTTCTGTGGTAATTTGGATCTAGTGCAAATTGGCGCTTGGAATAGTAATTTGAATGAAATATATTATTTAATTTAGATTTATGTATAGGTTAATTTAAATAGAAATAAGAACATTTAATGATACTTAACTATATTTCAAAAAATGTCTTACTCTTGGTGCAATTTAAAAAAGTAACCCTTTCATACTAAAAATAAAAATATTTTTTAATGGGTCATATTTTTCTGAATATTCATTTCAACATATGCGTCTTATATGAAATATATTACAATTTCTTAGTGGAATGTTTTTGTTTTTCTTAAACATTGTGTTTGTTTTGAATGCAAATTAGTTTTAAATATTGCGCCACATTGTGGGCCCTCTAATTTTTCTATAATAAATTCCTTTGGTATGGTACTATAGTACCTTGTAACATAATACCTAACGGAGTTTGAATATTATAGGTTAATATTAAGGAGAGATATGAGACTATGCATATATATATATATATATATATATNTGCATAATATCCTATAATTGACATTTGCTGCGAATTTCATTTGATTCTGATGATTCCTTCATGGTGTTGCATTTTCTACAAACAGCAGTTTATATATATATATATTATATGAGCAATAATTTCTCCATTTTAAAACTTTCCTAGTGAAGTTTTTTTTCTTTTTCTACACATCGTGTTTGATTTGAGTGAGTCCGAATCAGTTTTAAATATTGTGTCACATTGTGGGCCCCCTAATTTGTCTATAATAAATTCCTTCGGTATGGTACTATACTACCTTGTAACATAATACCTACCGAGTTTGTATTATTATAGATTAATATTAAGGGGACCATGTATATATACAATATATATGAGACCATATATATATATACAGTATATGAGCAACAATATCTCCATTTTAAAGCTATATAAGTATAATACGTTAGGCAACTAATTAATAAGTAATTTTATTAATTAATTTATTTAATAAATTTATTAATTTTACATGCATAAATTGTACTTGCTTTTTAGGTAAATTTGAATATTGTCTAAATGTCCATTCATTCTATACAGTTGCATCTACCCATTCATTCATAATATGTTCAGTTTTAATGGGAAAAAATAAAACTTTTTTTTTACTGCATTAAATTTCGAATGTTGAAATTATTGTTTTCATATTAAATCAATTTTATCATAGTAGAATAATTTTTGCCTCTTTTTAAGCACTGCGTATGTTTCGAGCGCAAATTAGTCTTACGTAAATGAATATGAGTTCAAATAATTAATGAGCATGAGATCAAATTTATCTACAGTGAAAATAATTGATAATTTTTAGTCAAAGTTTATCTGCTGCGCAAATAATTAGTAATCACTAATAAAATTTATCTGCGGTGCAAATAATTAACACGGCTTTAACGAAGCTACAGTAATTTGTGTTCCATAATTAAATTTTACTTTCTTTCGAGATAACTTTGAATAAAAGTGCTAGCTGTCTGTACTTTGTTATTAAACTTCATCGATAACCATAAACTATCAATTTAATGGAAATCCATTCAAAGCGACGTGCCCCCTCAAAAAAAAGTTCTCTCCTTGGCAGAAGCCAAGACTCCTGCAGTGGTAATTTAATTGAAACCATGGACAATCGCCAAAGGAGATGTTCAATACTTGGATGAGTCTCTTCCTCAATCGCTTTTACATCGACAGGTCTGCCGCGATCTACACATAACGCACCGTTGGATCTGTTTCAAGTTTTGATAACTCCAACGACTTAATTATGTTTCCACTCTGTTGTTAAATTAATCTTTCCTTCTCGTATCGTTGCTCTGAGATTGCCTGCTCGACGGCGATATGTTCTTATCGAAATGCTGATGCATCTAGAATTGATTTGTTTTAATTATTAAGTTTAAAACGGTAGCAATTCCAGAAACAAAACAAAAATTGTGATCGCCTTTCGGCGATCACAGATTACTCATTGGCGAAACGATTGTCTAATTTTTTTTCTTCTTTTGCTTCAATTTTAACCTTTGGGACCTTGTCAAAGTTTGGGACCCTCTTTATTTGTGATATTCACCTGAATTAGCATTGAAAACAATCCAGTTTGAACTGGAGGTTAGAATTTCTGGTTCTTAATTAAAAAAATAAAATAAAAAATATCGTTCAAATGATGAAATTCTCTTTTATTCACAACTTAAGATGTTTTTATGGGATCTCTCTGGTCCCATAACTCAAAAATAAACGTGAAAAAAAGTATTCTAAAAAAATTATCCAACACCAGCAATGCATACAATGACGACGTATGCTTACAGTTTACTATTACTCTTGAACACAGTTGAAAAGTATGATGACGTCCAAATAAGGTGCGCACGCCATCAAACCCAAAACAACACCCATTTTGCCAATGGGTAATAAGAGGCCGATTGATTCTTGGAATCCAAATATTTAGTGTGATAACAAATTATTTTCACTTTCAGTTTGTATCCTAGATTCATTTTGATTAAAAAAAAATAATTTGCACTAATGCCAGCACTTATATAAAAGCAGTAATTATTACATTATTATTAAACTTATCGAGTAAAAAATAATTATTTTAAATCTAATTTATGCAAGTGTGTCATTTTATTAAAAAATATTTTTTTGAATTTTATAAAAAACAAGGTAAGTATGTGCTTTATTTACGTCGCATTAGAACTGCATAATGGGCTATTGGCGACGGTCTGGGATACATCCCTGAGGATGATCCGAAAACATGCCATCGCAATTTTGATCCTCTGAGGAGGAGATGGTTCCCCTGCTTTGGTAGCACGACGACCTGCGCACGTTGTCGATTGAACAGTTTAACTAGGACAGATACTGCGCACTTTCGGTGCCTTCGCATGCTGAGCAAAGGGATACGCGCTTACTGACCGCAGCCAGTGTTGCGTGACTTCAGTGTTCAACTAGAAACCGTAACCCACGATCAGTCCACTGCGGGACTTATAAAAACAAATACTTCTTTAAAAAAAAGATATTTTCTGCGATTAAACAGATATATTTCACAATAAATTTAGGTACTTTCCATTAAGAAAAATATTTTCGCTATACCCCTGTAAAGTGTGGTACTTACCACTATAAAACATATACTTTCTACTGTATAATGAGATACTTGCTATTTCAAGATGAAATAAACGTCTTCTTTCGGTAGGTACAAAAAAATAAAGTTCATTAACATTGTGAAGAATTTGAAATAGTTCAGAGAGAACAGTACTTTTATTAATCAGTCATTAAGTTATTTACTTAATTTAACGTGTAAAAGCTTCAATTTCTCCATTATTTAACTGTAACGTTTAACCGTCTTCTTCGGTATCTCATACGTGTATGTCTCCATCTCTTTAAAAATACTAGTTATAATAAAAAAAAAATTATATCATAAATTCAGGTAAAGCAAATCTCAGTCAGACATTTTATGCAGACGAAATTACGTTTAAAAAAATCTCTCGGCTGCATTAGTTTTATGTCTTGAATGCTTGCTTTCATTGTTTTTTCAAAATGCCCAAAATTGAAATGGTTCATTGGAGTTATAATATGTTTATAAAAATATGTTTTGTATATATTACTCTTGATTTTCACTTACGTTGTTTTTTCAATTGGGTACTTGCATTTCAAGAAGATTACCAATACCCACACTATTGACCTATGACGTCAGCTCCAGCTGATCGTTTATCAACAAAATGGCGTGTTAAAATTGAGCTAAGTTTCACCACATAAGTTAGAAGGTTAATTAACATGAAGTTAATTAAATACAAAGCCGTATCGCTCATCGAATTTGTTGATATATAATACTTTTTTCTCTATTTTTTTTATTACTAACTTAGATTTATTATTTGTTTAGATAATTTATTGTAATCTTGATTTTATTTTTGTTTGTATTGTGCACCTGGCAGCTTCTATGCATAATTAGTTTGTTTATGTTCTACACGGTTTCGTGCCCGTCTTTTTGTAAGCGTATAGTGAAAGAATTAAAATCTTTGTGAACGAATGTAGAATGTGTTACTTAAGAGAATGAGTTGCTATCGTAAACAAATGCCACATTTCAACAGCCCATCACGATCGAGATACACACACTACGTCACTTGCAGGTATCCCATTGTACATCAGTACTTTAATTTACAAAAAAAAAATAATAAATAAATAAAGGTTGTTTTTTTTAAACTTAGTTGTAAAAGTTAAAAAAAAAAAAAATTCCGTTGCATTCTAAGTGACTTTTTTAAGAAACAATCATAATTTGGCATATTAATAGTTTATTGGTACCCCTTAATTTTGTTAGCCGTAGTTAGTCTTTTTTTTCTGATCATTATTTCTGATGCAGATAGCTTTAACAGTAATTTTATAATAACTCTTCTAATGATGCGATGAAACAGTGCAATTTACATTCTTTTAGCTTTTTTTTCCTCGGTTTTCCCCCCCTGGCGGCTTCATTAGTTCTTTAAAGATTAAATTACTAAGTAATAGTTGCCTTCATTATAATTTAAAGATGCAACTTTTTCTACATTAATCGCTTTAATTGGTTTCATTTATTAAAAAAAGAAATGTTTTATGTATATTTATCTGCTTCGTTATATTTGTAATAACCTGCTTGTGCTGTGTGCTACTATTGCTTGTTTACAAATTTCGTGCTTGTGACTAATTCTTTTTTTTTTCCTCTTCCATTTTAGGGACCGTTTGTACAGGTTGAATTTGAACAATGTTAATAAAAGTCGGTGTGACGTAAGTAAATGCTGTTATTTATTTCTGTTAAGCAGGGCTGGCAATAATTGTTTTAAAAAAAAATATCTGTAAAATTCTGATTTTATTTTCATTAATTTTTTTTTATTTGATTCTTTTTTTATGCAAACAAATCTCTGATAAAATTTATTAGTAATATGCTTAATAGTACTTAAAAACAATATTGTAACTAAAGCACTTAATATTTCTAACTAAAATGGTTGAAATAATTCTATGATTATTACAAACTAATCACTGAATATTATATAACTAAGTATTATATTACTAAGTATTTATTTCTGTTATACCGAGGTGGAAAAAATTGTTTTAAAAAAATAAATATGTAAAAACTTTTTTTTTCATTAAATTTTTATTCCATTTTTTTAAAATTCAAACAAAGCTCTGATAAAATATATTAGTAATGGTTAATACTATTTAAAAACAAACTAAAAGTACTTAATATTAGAAAAAGTAACTAAAGTACTTAATATTTCTAACTAAAATGGTTGAAATAATAATATAATTATTGCAAACTAATCACTGAAAATATAAACTCATAGTTGTCAAGCCTAATACTTTCATAAATTTGTTAAGACACTGTCGCAATGTGTCGGTTAGAAATCAAAGGAGGAAAGAATTAATTTAAATCAGGAAACATAAGATAGTAATAATAAGTTACTCTTGGCTAAATAAGTCTTTCTTCCTTATTTATATGCACGAATAACATATTTGATAGAAAATTTAAAAGTTTTTCTATTTAAATAAACATCAAAATAAATGGATAATCAATTTGCATACTGAAAAGTTTTAATACGAATAATATAAAAGTTTTGCGTCACTTCAATTTAGTCCTTTTTTTTACATCTAAAATTTATTTGCTGGATTTTGATTCCTGCTGTAGAATTATTTAACTTAAGAAATGTTGATTGAACCTTTAATTTTGCGTTTTAATATTANTATTACAGACGCCATTTTCGATTCGTATTTCGTCTAATTTATGTGTCGATGGAGGTGCACAGATTCTATTCATGATAAATTTAGACAGTATCTGTTAATAGATAATTCTGTGCACCTAAATCTGAGAATATTCAAGCTTAATAAAGAAGTGAGTTGTTTTTTTCCTTTTCTTTCTGCTCCTACTCCATTAATTTTTGCTTCGATTCAAAATCCTTTTTATTGGGTTTATTAATTTTGCTTATATTGAGTTCATTGCAATTTTTGCCGATGTTTTGTTGAAATTTTCCAATGTTTTATTGAAATATCATTATGTTTTGGCCGCCATTCCTGTTACCACGATGTTCCGCTCAAACAGGAATAACGCCAAACATAAGTCGCCAATTTCGCCAAGGGGCACCCTCAAGTATATTTTTCCCGAATCTCTTTAACGGTAATTCATATTAGTATATTTAATGTAGTTTGCACCTGAGAATAATAATTGTAAAACTGTTCATGAGATCAGACACCGAACTAAATAACTTTATCTTAAAATGTAATTTAGAATTACGTTATTCTAATAATAATAAAAACAATCCTCTTAAATTCTTAATTTAGATAGCAAACAAAATCAAAAACGTAATAATAACAGTGCAGGTAAATAAATACCTTTAAATTAAGGATGCAAAAATATTCACAGTAGAACAATACCTTTATAACTTATATCAGTTTTATACTGATGACAGCCGAACCAATATGAAAATGAATGTGGGAAAACTGGATCCTACCATGTGATTTTCCGGCCAATAAAAATGTACCAACAACAATGGAGAACTGCGACACCATCATTAGATGTTTATATATAGTTAGATTACGGAAATTTATCTTACTTATTAATAACTCTGCCGTGGAATAACAACGAAACTTTAAAAATTTGAAAAATCTCAAAAAGATATCTTTTTAGCCCTTTCAGAAATGTTACTTTCCTGATAAAAATGTAAGTTTTGTAGCATTAATAATAAAAATGGTTTTTCGCTTAGTTGACGATAAACTAGATAACCAACACTCAACCCTTCTATCGGGCGATCCTTTTTAGAAAAGAGCTTTTCATTTATCCGCAACGCATCATTTGATTTCCCATCAATTTCTCCACACATAAATTCCCTACCACTTTCATAAATATTAAAAATGTACCTTTATCCAAGCAGTCTTGCGTGCCTCCTTGCAATTTCGGTTTACTACAATTTAGCCATCATTCATTTCCAAGTTTTGATACTTTACGAAACTTAATCGAACTTTTATGTCCATCATGTTTGGCTGAAGAATTGATTTACCTGTTTGTCTGGATTTTATATTGAAAATTGTCTGGATTGGTTTAACGCTCTCAGCCCTGTTCTTCTTGGTTAAATCTATTTTTCGAAGACACTATCGTCAAATGAAATAACGCCTGTTTTGCTATTTTCATAATTGCTGTGGTGATTAGTCAGCTTATGTTTAGCCAGCGCCCTCCTCGCTGGATTCTAAAAATGGCGCAAAACGTTAATGCAAAGAAAAGCCACAAATTTGTGAACATAAAAAGCATTTTTGATCTAGTTTTATAATATCTAGAAAATTACTTCTAAGCTTCATTAAGCCGCGATGGCTCAGGGGATAGAGCGTTCGCCTTCCGATAAGGCGAACCGGGTTCGAATTCCGGCGATAGCTGGTCGATACAAATTTCGCACCCGGCTTGCACCTACCACAGTCCTGTCGAAATATCCTCAGTGGTAGACGTATCATGGGTTAGAGTCCCCTTACCACCAAGCTAACCGTGGGAGGTTCTCGTGATCTTCCTCTCCATGTAACGCAAATGCGGGTTAGTTCCATCAAAAAGTCCTCCGCGAAGGCAAATTTCTCCCAATACTTGGTCCAGATGTTCCCTTGCTTTCTGTATTGGGTTCAAAATTACAAGGCTGCAGAGTTGGACATTAGTAGTCGTGAACTCAAAAATTGGGTCGGCAGTTCAACGGCGGTTATATTTAAAAAAAAAAAAGATACCATAAGGTTACGGAGTTCCGCTATATAATACTTTACATGGGTCGGCTGTTCAACGACGGTTATAAAATAAAGCAGTTATACCATGCACATTTCTTTGGTTACCGTAGGCTTATGGTGTCTTGCCATATAAATTTCTATGGTTACCAAAAAAGTTCTCCATGAAAGCAAATTTCTCCCAATTCTTGATCCAGGACTTCCCTTGTCTTCTGGATTGGGTTCAAAATTACAAGACTATGGAGTTGAACATTAGATTGGTAGTCGTAAACACAAAAATTAGGTCGGCGGTTCAACTATGGTTATAAAATTGTTCTGTACTTTTTAACATTATTTTATTATAAAGACTCTAAAGACCCTCTCCCCCATATTTCCTATTTTGTCAACTAAAACTCAATTGTTTTTTCTCCATTGGAAAAGCGAGGGGGTTTAGTTTTAATCTTAACATACAGCTCTAGCAAATGCTAAATTTTCAGTCGTTGTTCTGCAACTTCAAATTCCTCAAACGACAAATTAGTTGCCTTAGTAACTGTTAAATCTCCCTCATCTATTCTAATGGGAACCATAGGGAATCTCCCATATATGTTGTCTTTGAGTATTTTGAAACAGAAATAATCTAATAAATGTTGAATCTATTAACAATTTATGAACAGAGAATTGAATTAAGCGAATGCAGTTCGAGTAATTTGACATTAAAATGATGCTGATTAGATTATTTCTTTCTAATTTCCAGGAAATATTGCTACTGTGTATAACTTTTTTTTTCTCGCTCTCTTAGCCATTGCTGAAATACGTGAATTAGAATGTCAATAGTAATTTCTTTCGAAATATTTATTATTGATTGAATTTAAATTATAGTCTGCTTCATAAATTGCACACCCCTACAAAATTCAATAAATCATTTAATAATGGAGTTCTAATACATCTCCTATAAAATGTATCTTTTTTGAAGTATTGCTACTGTGAATAATTGTTTTGTTTTTCCTTAAGTAATTTAGGAATGTAAATTAGAAAGTCAAAGCAAGATATAATATTTAATATATTTGTCGAATTCTGAATATTATTCAGGATTTTCATTAGTATCTAAATTATAAAATATTTCGTGATATGTGCTCAGATAAATGAAAAGGTTTTTTTCATACTTTGACATAAACCATAATATCTTGTTATCATGTTTTATTTAGTCTGTAATCGGGTTTATCCGTACAACGTTTTAAACAAAATTTTTCAACAGCGTATTTATTTCTCTCTTGTGCTAGCCAAAAATGATCTGAGCTACAATTTGGAAACACCTGAGAAATTTCATTTTAATTCCCATCTAAACTTTAAAAAGTGAACTGGACATTGATTAATTAATTTGGAAAAGTTTTTAAGTTAAAGCAAAATTTTTTGGTTTCAAAATTTCCAACAATGTTCTCTTTTTATAAGTTAACTAAAAGTAATCCTGGCTACCATTTAGAAATAACCATAAAAATTTGTTTTTAATTCCCCTTTAAACATTGGAAGGTGAACATAGGCGACAACAGAAGAAATGTTTTATTGAGTCGATAATATGGTTCATCCGTACAACGTTTCAACGTAAATTTTTCAACAATGTATTTATTTCTCTCTTGTGTTAATCAAAAATGATATGCGTTACAATTTGGAGGCACCATAAAAATTTCATTTTAATTTCTATCTAAACTTTAAAAAGTCAACTGGACATTGATTGATTAATCTGGACACCGTTTTAAAAGTTATAGCAAAAACGTTTTTGGTTTCAAAATTTCCAACAATGTTCTCTTTTTAAGTTAACTAAAAGTAATCCATTTACAAGCAACCCTAAGAATTTAATTTTTAATTCCCCTTTAAACATTAGAAAGTGAACATAGGCAACAACAAAAGAAAAAAGACATATTTTAATTAAATCCGTACCCATAAGATTTAAACTTTTGTGTGCTGCATGGGTTATAGGGAGAGAAACTCATCTGGTAGGGTGTTCACGCGTGTCCATTGCGTGACGAGATCACATTAGTCCTCAGGGGGGCCCGTGAATGAAT